AGCACGCCAAGTTAAATAATCAATAAGAAAACGATCACTTCGATATTGGTTTTGACAAAATAATGAGGCGGTGCGTGTACGTATTGGTGTATGAGTGTTTATGTGAGGTGTGGTTGCTAATGACTGTAAGTTCGCGGAAGTGTTGCTGTGATGTAGAAAAGACCCATGCCCACGCCCACGCCCACGCTCACTCTAAAAATAAAAATATAATATATAATATAAAAGGTCACGATGACCTGATTGTAATCTTAGTGCCAATATGAATTACTCCGTTAAAATTGATGTTCGAAATGAAGTTTTAAATCTAATGAGCCTTATTCCCACTTTGCTTGTTGGCCACAAATACAGTGAAAATTGGTCACACACATACATGTTTGTTGCTAAGAGCGGTCTCTCTTCTTTCATGTATCTTTCGATATCGTCTTGTTAGCATATGCAAGCAAGGCGATATAGAAAGATACATGAAAGAAGAGAGACCACTCTTAGCAACAAACATGTATGTGCGTGGCCAATTTTCACTGAATTTTTGGCCAACAAGCAAAATGGGAATAAGACTCATTACAAGAAATGATAATTGTCAGCCAAAAATGAAGCATTTTTTCTGCAAAAATGGCTTGAAAATGCTCTTTTGCCTCTTATCATATTTCGAATAATATTTTATCTGTAACAAAAATAGACACAGCTCAAACTACAGATTGGCATCAGTAGACTACGACTACGATTATATTTTGTGAAATATCACATCGCTGCGTTCTCATTGCCAAAATTTTCTCTCACGGTTCTATATGCTCTCATTTTGTTCTTGTGCTAAAACAATCTTTTATTTATTCGGGACAGAGAAAAAGGAGCTTTATTAGTTAGACACCTATTTGATGTTGAAGAGTGTAGAGTGTAGAGTTCATAAATTTAAGAAAAACTTTGAAGGATATAGAAACAACACATGAAAATTAGGAAACCATTTGAACGAATACTTTGTTCTTCATTTCTCGATGCCATCACCGCTACCGACTGCACCTCGACCATCATGTTCAGGTTGGCCAGGGACAAGATCGTAATTAATGCACTCGTCGAAAAATCACGGTCATTGAATACTTCCTTTCTAATGTGCTGAAATTGTGGGTGTGGGTGTGGGTGTGGGTGTGGTGTGGGTGAGTGTGGGTGTGATGGAAGATGTGCCTCATTGACAAACATACCCACACCCACACCCTCCAATAAAAGAACTCTAACTCACGTATACGAAAAAGAAACGGACTCTCTCTTCTTATCCTTCATTTTCATTACATTCATTCCCTCCACATTCCTTACTACTTCTTTTTCGTTACAAAGCTCTCTTGACTGCTTTCTAAAACGCACCGTGGATCTATGGTCGAGCCTTATCCTGCTGAAATTTCTGCAGGGCACACACTAACTATAATGTGCCGCATGTGTCACAGCGAGCACCTCGTGTCGTGTTTCTTGCATTCTTCGCTATATATATATATATATATATCCAGCGGAGAACGCAAGAAATACGATACGGAGTGCTCGTCGCTGCCGCATACGACACATAATGCGAGGCATTTTATTTCAGTGTGCATGTTTGAGTTTTAAATCTTTTCTGATCTCTATGACTGCTATTTTATCACTTTTCACTCAGTCGATAACATCTGAAAATAGCGAAAAGAAAATATAATGATAGTCTGCTGGTCGATATCGATTCGGCATATTGTCACTAACAATCTAATAAAGTTTAAAGAGCTGAGATAGGTACAGAAATAGATCAAGAAAAGTAGACATGATGGTGAATATGAAAAGAAGTATCGAAGCACTTACGATAAAGAAAGCGATGGAATTCTTGTATTTTGAAACTTGTTGTAACGCTTAAGGTCTTAGAGATACGTTGGATCTGTTGGAATGAACTACTCATGAACACCCAATCTTATACACAAGAAAAATACCCATACAAGAAGAAATTTCCAATTGTCATAAAGTTAATCCCATCATAACACTTATTTTCCTTGAAGAGGTTGAGCAATAACCTTGAGTCAGGTTGTCTTTTTCTTTTTTGTTTACATAGCTACCTTGTAAATTTCTATTATTCAGCAACAGAAAAGCAGCCAATCATGGGAGCATGTGCAGGCTCTTTTGCCGGCATAGGGTACATTTTTTGGTTTAAATTGCTAAATTGGAAGGATCTCAAAAGTAAGCATTGTTTATTTTTAATCAAAATATTGATAAGCTATGCGTATTGACAGATTTTAATGGTGGAAAATAATAATTCATATTAACAATGAGTCTGAATGGCGGGTAAGTGTCGGTTCAGGATTTTTGTTCTATTTTGATATTCATTTCAATAAATTCTACGTGACATACACATACATGCCCGAACTTTCTCACCACTGTTATTATAATAAGGAATGGAAAGGTAAACAAAATGAATTGTCTCTAGTTGAAGTAACGGGTGAGTCAGAATAAATGTCCATGTAGCCAATAATCGATAAATAATGGAAAATTGTTCCATTACTTTATATTATTTTGTGAAGACATCAAATAATTAATTAAAATTCATTATTTTTCATATTTTCAACGCATTATAGTGCATTGTTAGAAAAACTCTTGAACATTTTCAAAATTTAATAAATTATCATTAATTTTGAAAACACCGTAGAAAAGGCATTGAACCATGTCGATTACAAAACAACGATTTTTCAGTCGATATACTATATTTGTCAATAGTTATTCTTACCGGATTCTTTCTCTTAACCTTTTTTTATCCCTGCCTCCCAGATTGCCTCGAACAAAAATTCTTTTGACATACAATTATTTTCAAAATTATCAAACCGCTCTTTTCTTCAATTTCATTCAAAGCAAGCAACAGCAGATATTTTCTCATAGCCCCTTTAATCGTATTTAATCTTATTTCCATCATTTCAAAACAATAAACCTCAATCGTTTCTTTATAAAACTTTATCACACGCCGTTATCATCAAATTCATTTGGGTTTGACTCTACATGTTTCCATTAATCTTTCCTTTCATTCGAGGAACTTTTCTCCTTCTATGCCGATAGTGGCGTGAGGCAACAGAGAAAAGAGCGAGTTGTTTTGTGGGTTATTGCTCTTATCTTATTTGTGTCTTTTTCTTTGTTTTATACAACCGTACTTCATATGGCGCTCCTTTCAGTCGATGGACTTATACCCTTCTATGCTGATAGTGACGTGAAGCAACGGAGAAAAGAATGAGTTGCCGTGTGTGTTATTGCTCTTCTCTTATTTGCAACTTTTTCTTTGTTTTATACAACTGCATTTCATTGGTAATTATCCTAAACGTGTGGTGACTTCAACAGAAAATACGGTAATATCTGACTTGTTTTTTCATAGACCCTTAATAAAGCTACTGCTCTTAACATCAAATGCGACAGAATATATTTTTTTTGTATACTTCACTGGCTTGTAAAACGGTCTCCTCTAGTAAAGAGCGAAGAATGCAAGACAAATAAGACATTCAATTCCACTATCTCTGCTCAGGCATATATCATATAATCTGAAGTTTTTCACGAATAAATTTTCGATTGTTATAGTAAATCGACTGATTGGATAAAATGAACACAACAGCTGATGGAATACCTATGGAAGACCCTCCACTATTGACTGATATTACTCTACACGAAGATGATCTGACTCAAGAAGCTATGACTCATTTCAGCTATCACACTGAGATTTTGCATGCATTTGAAACGTATCGACGCAACATACTTGAAAATGCCCATCTAACACGTATTGGCCGACATCTGCTTTTTTCTGTTATCGATAACTTGCACACAAATTGTAAAAAAGTCCTCAACTATGCGGCAGAAAACGTTGAACTTCTGTCTGGTACTTTCCCGATCGTTGGTCCCTTGACCATCTTTGGTTTACCACGCTCTGGTACGACTTTTCTTTACAATTTGCTTGCTTGTGATCCTAATTGTCGCGCACCGTTGCTCACTGAGATGAGTGTCGAGTGCGTTCCACCCATCGCAAGATCAGATTCGGTCAAACAGGAGCGCCGACTGGTTGCAACAAAATTGGCTAGACAACGTAGGGAAAAGATAACAGGTCGATCAGATGAAATGGTTGCAGCACATCCAATTCATGCGGTCGAAGAAGATTATTTAATCTTACGTCACACAGGCATATACATTTTTTTGTCGCAGCTAATGTTCGATTGTCAGTCGGACACAGACGATTGGCTCAACGACCTTATGAGTAAGGACTTTGCCTATGACTATCATGAGACATTTTTGCATATGTTAGACATTTCTTCATGCTCATGGTTATAGAAAAGTGAAAGGAATTAGTATTGATACAATAAAAAAACTGGTGGTGCTATGAGTTCATCACTGACATTAACTTTGGCTAATATTTTTATGTCAAAATGGCAGAAAAGTATTGTTGAAGAACAAACGAAGACAGGCAAATTTTATGGGCGGTAGGTGACCAAAAATTTAAAATTTAAAATTTAAAAATTATGACGATTATTTAAGTTTTTTCTTTGTAGATATATTGATGACATTTTTATGACTTGGAACAGACCTGAAGAAGAATTAAGAAAATTATTAGATGATGTGAATACATGGCATCCAAATATTAAATTAGACTATAAAATTGGTAATAGTCTTCTATTTCTTGATGTACAACTTACAAATAATAATGACATTCTATCAACATCTGTCTATCATAAGCCTGCAGCTGAACCATATGTTACACCATTTACATCTGATCATCCTCGACATGTTTTTTCAAATATTATCAAAACTTCTATTGAACGTGCAACAAGATATTCATCAACATTTGAAGCATTTAATCATGAGCGACGTTAGATTAAATTGATGTTACTATACAGTGAGTCAGTCATTATTTCACATTTTATTAAAAAAATTATTCTATTTCAATTGTCCATTATTTAGGTATCCATCAACATTTATTGAAAATGAATTTCACAAATACTTTTCAGAATATATATCAAAATCACTATTTCTACCATTAATTGATGACGAACATAAATATTTTCTTATGCGAAAACAAATCTTAGGTCAACCAACACCTCAGCAATCACAAGCGGCAATGAGTGCAGCACTAGCTGATATTGACAACGATCCACTAGATGATGAAAGACAACAACCAAACCAATATAAAAAAACAGAAGAAAAAATCTCAAACTACAGTATAACGAAAAATTCTTTACTCATTTTACATATGAAAAACGTTTCCAAACATGCAAACGAGATATGCATCAAGTATACCATCATGCATTTCAAGATACACCAGTAATGTACACAAAACAAATCGTCGGCAACCGCAACCTTCGTCCAGCACAAAATGAACTAATACACAAAAGACCAAACAAAACATTGTTACAAAACACAACAATAACCAAAAGTCAGTCAAACAACTCTAACAAAAAATGATTTATATCACTCCTTCATATAAAAAAATTTAAAACATTTCTGTTACTATTACACATTAGAAAAACTCGAAAAAAGAGCATGACCCTACAACAAACTACAACTATCACCGGACCTGCATCGACCCAATACAAATGACAAGCAAGTTTCTCTACTCAAGACGATCAACCCATCAAACAATGAAAACATATTCAGAAACATTTATAAAAGAAAATCCATATATAACAGATAAATACGTTCTAAAAAATAAATAAACATATATGAAACTTCTTCGAATTTAATTCCGATCAATTTTTCAATAAAGTTCTAAACTTCTCTTTTTTTCAGATAAATCTCTACACATAAATTTCACAAACAAAACAATAATTATCATCGAAACATGGAAAATGAAATCGATAGATTATGGCTGCTGTTCACACTACTGGAAATGGATACTATCATTATATATTATTATTATTTTTTGATTTTTGTCGAAAAATTTTATAATATATAACAGTATAGTTTAATCTTGTGATTTTTTTAAAATTTAAGATTTTAATTATTTTAATTTTAATTTTATCATAGAGATTATTGGCCAACTGAAGAGTCCCTTTAGCAAGGACGAAACGTGTCTTGGCTGCTGTTCATACCCCACACATACATCCTATGCTTGACGCGTCGTATATACTACTTTGAATCTATAATAATTGAGTATATAACACACCCGCCTATAAAATAACTACGATTCGAACAGAATTGATCTTATGTTAAGTATATTCCTTTCGATTATACTAGTATTTGTTTCTTTTTGGCTATTTTCTTCTTTGAAAATTGCTTTATTGAAATAATCTACTATTAACTTCGAATTCTATGTTTAACTTAATGATCTTCTTTGTTTTCTATGTAGTAAAAGATTCTAAAGATACTTGATGATGATCGAATTAAGCCTCGATCGAAACGCGTCGTATATACTGCTTTTAATCTTAGATATTTTTAAGGGCAATAATTTAAATATAAATTGATAAATAACAGCGGCTTGAAATAGAATCATTTTTTTCAACGTAATGTAAATTACAATAGAAAAGAAAAATAAGTAGATTTTCGACGTTTTGAGGTACAATTAAAACCTCATTATCAAGAATTTATTTGAATATGTACAAAGTATAAGAATTACAAGTATAAGTATGATGAAAATACAATAACAAGAAAATAGAAAAAAAGCAGGACAAGATAACAAATACAATACAATTACAAAGCATTAATCATTATCAAATTGCTAGTTAGGTAGTAACTCTTTCTGTAGTCCATCAAATTTACGTACAAGATTGAAGATGGTGAGAAATTGGAATTTCTTGATGTTCTTATTACTTGATCAACTGAATGTCAATCGCTTGGAACAACAATTTATCGTAAATCAACTTATACCGGCTTGTTGACTAATTATCACTCTTATGTTTCAATGCAATATAAGAAGGGTGGTATAATTACTATGGTAAGTCGAGCACTCATTATATGTTCAACTTATACATCATTCACGGAAAAAATTTTCAACCAAAACCGCGGTGATTGGCGGTTTACCAGTTGCGACTCTCAGCGGTTATTAAGAACCGCGAAAGTCAGACCGTTTATTAGGTTTTTCCACACCGCCCGAAACCGCGGTATCCTCAAACTGCAGTTATTAACGATTTTTGAAAAAAAATGAATTCATCATATAATGGTATATTTTACCTGGCATCTATGCGGTAATCCTTGATTTTCCATGTTCGCGACATATCTTCGATCTCAATGCAGCGATTGAATACCGCGGTCAACTCATTTAATACCACTATATATTTATTATT